AGGATTTTTTTTAATTAAAAATATTTTTATTTTTTAAAATTAATTCTCAAAATTATCCAGATTTGACATGTGTCACTTAACCTCCAAATTTAACGGTCGTTACGGTGGAGACACCTAAAAAGTGTTGTGATGAAGAAATTATACCATACCTCTTTCGCAATTACATTTCCACTGTAACTCTTTCCAAGCATTACCTTACATCTCTTCATTATAAATGCAGTTGTGGCGGGAAGTCGAGTTGCCTCCGCTCCAACTCTTCCTCCATTTATTGATCAGTAATCCCTGAAACAGCTGGACGGGCAGAAATCGTATCAGGTACTGATACAGTCCTCCAAATATCTTTGCCTTGGAGATTGTTTCTCATGGGAAAGAACTAGAAGCACTGATCAGATTTATAACTCACAATGTTTGGAGGACATTTTAAAGGGTAAAAGGTCTGAATTGTCAGCAAAATAAAAATGACAAAAACCCTGCCTTTATATGCATTTTAAAAGCACCTTGAACTATATTATGTTGAATGGATATATCCTTTGGGAACGATTTTGCTTGCAAACCCGCAGCCTACAGAGACTTTGAGTTTGAGCTATTATTGGTCGAGTAAAGACATCAAGGCTTCATGCGACTACTTGGATGTAGCCAAAAAAACGGATTATCATACAGGTTCAACTCCAGAATCAAGATCGCTGATCTGAAATGGTAACTGCATTTCTTTCTCCAGCATCTTTTACAATCTAATGTAGTTGGTGTAAAGGTTTCTAAATTTACAGTCCTATAGGTAAAGCTTGTCAAGACCAGTATAACACAATGCATCTGAAAATGAGCACTAGGCAAAGATAAACATGACCCAAAACCACCTATTGCGGCCAATATAACAATAAAAGTGCGGCCAATATAACAATAAAAGTACGGCGAATAAACCAAACAGCCGAACAAGTACTGCGAATCAAACGATGCATTAAAGCTAACTTCCAAACGAAAAGAAACGGGGGAATCACATATAAACCTGACCACACAACAAATAAATTTGGAGCCTCATCTGTCTTTTGTAAGACCATCTCTTTCCTGAGAACCCATACGGATTTGGCCAGTTGTAATTCTCCATTGGGACCTCAAAAGTTTCAGCTATCAGCAGCGTTTTACCGTTCTTGTTCATAACCCGCAATACCGCATGGTTTCTAAAATGAAACATTCATTATTTTATATAACATGGTTAACAACATTTAATTAGTGACTCGAAGCTTATAACAATTTATTTTAAAGATTGATTGGTCTACCGTCACATATATTTAACTCTTATATCGCAAAACTTCGTTCCACAAAAAAAATCATGGGGAGAATGATTCAACAGTGTTACAATTTGCATGAATGAACAGCCATATACTCATCAAGACTGCCAAGTGCAAACCATATGCCAACCAATATTTTCCGTGTAGATCACAACTCACAAGAATATATTAAATGGATGGTAACTTAAAATTCATGGAAAAATTAGTCGATAGGCAAATCAAGTCAAAACTTACAATGTCTAAAATTTTAACATTCTGAGTAAAACAAAAAAAAAAATCTGATTTAGAATTAATACCACTGCTGCTTTCATTCCGTACAAAACAGATGCAAATCAAAAGATTCTGTTTGAAGGGCCCATGGTGCTCTTCAAGTATAGGCACCTCACCTGCAATCAAAACAGATTCCAAATTCAATCAGATTACATAAACAACATCATGAAAATGGGCAAGCAACCTGAACATATGCCAAAAAAATAAGAAAACTCACATTTTGCCAGTTTTTCTTTAATAATGAAACAAGGAAATTGACACTCATTTGCACATTTTGGAATATCTGCTTCTCCTCCATGGCAACATTTCCAACGGCCACGCCCATGCAAAGGACCTTCTTCAACTGGAACTTAACCATTGCCTTGGTCTCATTCACCTTGGACTCTAAGGACTCTTGTCTGTTGGTGAGTAACAAGGGTTGGGAATTTCCCTACATTTGTGCGTGACATCATCAACGGGAGGTATAAGCTCATAAATCATAACTGAAAAATACAGAATGAGTGAACGTAGGACTTCCTGCAAATGCCTTGGGAGTGCAATATTAATTCAGCTGAAAACATGCCAATAACAATGCTTTTATAGGGCACTTGCCTGCTTTGTTGAGACCACACTACAGCAAAACTGTACATTTTCGGCGTTTTTTTTTTTACTTATAGCGGCGTTTTTAAGCGCCGCAAAAAACACCTGCGGCGCTATGACAAACGCCGCTGAAAATAGCGTCGCTAAAGTTCGCAGCGTTTTGTAACAAAAACGCCGCAATAGGTAACGATATATAGCGGCGTTTGTCCAACAAACACCGCAATATGTGTTGATATTTAGTAGCGTTTTTCCAACAAACGCCGCAATAGGTGTTGAGATTTAGCGGCGTTGTTTCCAAAAACACCGCAAAAGATCTGGTATATAGTGGCGTTTTTTTATAACAAACGCCGCAAAATGTCATATCTATAGCAGCGTTTTAAGATATAAACGCCGCTAATTACCTCTCTATAGCTAAAATAAATTGATTTTGCAAATTAAAACTAATTTGTCAAATGTTGTTTTACTCTTTATTACCCAAATTTAACCTGTAGCATTTTCCAATAAACTTGACATCCATAACAACAAACTTAAAATCCATAACAAAAAATGAAATCCATAATAAATCAAAGTTTACATTAACGTAAATATAATGTAGTTCAACATTATTAACTATAATAAACAATAATATCTAAGATATTTTGCTTCTAATCTTACACATTCTTCAAAACTCTTCTTCACAATGAGGCGTTTAAATTCAAAGAGATAAATCCAGTTTATATGGGAAAACAATGATACAGAGCTAGTATCGTCCTGTCATTTCTTGCACAGATATTTGCTTCATGAGGTCTTACTCCAATTGGCATACCACTTGAAAAGGCCCCATCCATGGCAATGCAAACCCGATCTCTAGTTTCATATCCAAATAAATCATCAGTTTATATGAAAATCTATTATATCTTACGTTAAAAAAGTTAACAACACATTTCTGCATAGTCAGTCCCAGCAGTCAACACTCTATGGCATGGGCAACCATCATGATGATAAGCAAATATAGAGATAGATTTTAATAATTGTGCAGAAACATCCAAGCTTGAATTTCATGATAACTTCTAACAGCTTATCGGACCAAACATATTTTAAATCAATAGCACCCAGAAAAAGGCTCCAAACTACATTTCTAACAAAAGAAAGATATAAAGATGGAAATATGACAGCTTACCAAGGACCAAATCCTTTCAAGCATTCTGCTAAAACAACCTGAGAACACAAAAGCACAATCTAACTTAAAGATAAGGAAGCAAAAAGAGAATTTAACGGAGATTGTAAATTAATATTTTATCCCCATTTGTCACCTCAGTATTTTCCCCAAGAATTTCAATTATAAGCCCCATCAACTTATGTGCAGAGGCCATTGGTTTCAATTGAATGCTTTTCTGTGCCAAATTGTACATGCTTTCTAACCCCTACAGAAGAAATAATAAACGAGATATGTAATACAAGGAAAGTACATACCACTGAATGGCCTGATGTATAACAAGTGAAAATATATAATTCTATCCAATGGCATGTTGCAGACAGACTATTAGCATTACCCAACATTATTTGTAACATACTTCTCAAACCCTGATGAGTCTGCTGGTGAGCACACTGAACATTATTTGTAACGAGTAGCATTTGTAACATACCTCTATTGTTTTTATCCACATTCCACAAGTTCATCTATTCAATGGAACATCTCAGAGATTAAAATTTCTACAGTTCTTGAACAATTAATTATATAGATTATTCCATTAGAAAAAAAAAAATACATTCAGCACCTACTAATATAAATCAATTTTATCTGTTTTACTACCTCATGTTTGCAATAGATTTAGCAGTAACATCAAATCCATATCTCATATCCATTTCGTACAGAAAAAACATGAAAATCTATCCATAAAAAAGTTTTGCAATACTAGAAGGAACTCAAATATATTATTTTCACAGTTGCTAATTAAAGGTTTTGCAAAGAGTCTACCAGTAGTTGAGGGTTCAGGTCAAAACCCCACACAATATCGGACCAACCGAGGCGGATCAATAGCACCCAGAAAATATTTTCTTCTATTGAAACATCCTTTGAACCGAATGAAAGCTGACAAAATAATCTCCAGAGCCCCTACTAGCAAAACCGGGTTCTTCCAACGAATAAGTAAATTATATTTATCATAATAATGATCATTATTTCATCAACATCCTATGCAAAAAAGAGCAAGCATATTTACATGTCGGAAAGGGTGGTAATGTACCACATGGCACACTTCTAAATGATAATCTAAAACAGTTTACCATGATTAATGCATAATAATGTACTGATTCAATGGACTTGCAAGTGATACATATATGTCTCCATAAGAAAGATTTTTAAATGTTACAGTATGGTTCCATGCAAGAAATAAAAAAGTGACAATGAAAAGAAAGGAAAAAGAAGTCATGAATCCTAATACCCGCCATGCACATAAACATGAGTTGATGGCTTATAAAAAATTTCGAACTCCTGGAGTAAAGGACCCACTCCCCATCAGGGTACATGATGTGATCTTGACTAGCAATACCCAACCCAAATTTTGTAATGGTCTGTGTTCTTTTGAGCCATCTTTATCTTAGACGATATGATGCACTAAGGACCTAATTTATACGTTGATCAGGATACAAGCCCACGTACCAATCTTTACGAACTTTTATATGTGGTACCTCTAATTTATCAGTCATCAAGTACCCTGAAGCCCTAAAAAACCAACCGTTGGACAAATTAGCATTCCAACACCACAATAATGAGTTCCCTACCAATAGAGATCATTTTCTCTAAAGTTCCATAATTAAGAAAACAACCTGAAAAAAAAGCACTTCACCATTGTAGGTAGCTAGAGCGATTTCCCTCACCATCTTTATCAATCATACAAGAGAGGACTAGAATGCACGGTTGACTGGTGAAAAGCAGGCCAACCTGACAAATTATTGAAACTCAATGATCAACTTCGATCGGATTGCTCTAGATTCATCGATAAGTTCGATTTAACATGATATAGGGAAAGCACTAGTACCTGGCATTTTATCGCCATCAGAACCTTCTAAAACTTCAAGGTAGTGAAGAAATGAGGGAACCACTATGTCAAGCTTCCCATCACTAAAAATTACACAATATGGCGGGAGTTAGTTAAATTATTCTGTATGAGTTTACTCAAAAAGATGAGCAGATTTCGAAAGGGGAAATGAAAAGAATTGAGATTTTTAACATAGTCAAAGATGCGATGAAAACACGAACTCAAAAGGTAAGAGTAAACTACCTATTGATATCAGCAATTAAGGGAGTTGCATAAATGCGGAGCTGACCTCCGTTTGCCATCTAAGTTCTAAATTCTTTGGGCACTGTGTATTCAACAACGCATCCTCATCCCTACACATTCATATACACAAAATGTTTTCAAATAACAATAACTCATGTGATTGAATCGAAAAAAAAATAAAAATAAAATTGAGATAGAAGGACTTACAGTTCGGGATAACCAAGCTCGTCGTCGGTGGCCTTTCGTTGACGGAATTTATTATTGGAGTCATCGCCGAGCAGTAGTATGAAAGGACCTTCAAGCACGAGTAGCAGCAGTTGTTTTCGATAAAATTAGGTTTAGAATTCAATTTCAAGGGGGGAAATGCTCTCGCATGATTTAAGTAACACCTATTGCGGCGTTTGTAACAAAACGCCGCTAATGTACTTATCATTAGCGGCGTTTTTGGATATAAACGCCGCAAAAGGATAGATATATAGCGGCGTTTTTAGATACAAACGCCGCTAAATACCTTTATTTATATAAGATTAACATATTTTAAATATTCATTTCTTCTTACATAACTAAAGTTACAACCATACATTTAATTAAGACGAAGTACTTATGCATAAAACTACTTAACAACAAATACATTATAATTTAGAAACATTAAAGTACTTATGCATAAACAGTCTTCACCATACATTATAATTTAGAAACATTAAAGTACTTATGCATAAACAGTCTTCAACATACATTATAATTTAGAAACATTAAAGTACTTATGCATAAACAGTCTTCACCATATTGTTCAGTACAATTTAGTCTTCATTGCTCCTTCGTGGGAAAGGACGTAGGAAAGCTGTTTTCCTTGTTTGACGACGCATCGTTTTTTCCTCCGTGTAAATTCTATATGAGAAACTCTTCATCCATTTCACCAAATAAATCTCCTACCTCCGGTTCACAAGAAGACTCCTTGCGCGCTTCAGTGCTTCACTTGAAACAGATAACGACCCTCCACCTACAGTATAAAACTTGATTGGAGGTGCTTGGGAATTGAATCAAACATTAAAATATATTTAAACAGATTATATAAACGTTTACTTGGAGTAACAGTAGAGGCAACATCGTCTTCATTGAGGATCGATACTGCTTTTGCAATTGAAGATTCTTTCAACGCCACAGTTACCAAATTCGTTTCTAAAATAGGGTATTTATCCATTTCTCTATCATCATTCTCAATAAGCTTCGAAGACTATGCGTACGACTATGAAATTTGAGTGACCGTACAAAGGGAAATATGCGGCATAAAGATTATAGAATTTTACCTTCAAGTAGGAGATCGGCCATGGAAGGGTATGGAGCAATATGAGTTCCTGTCGAGTCATCATCGAGTTTCGACGGCGAAACCGGACCGATAGCCTCCCAGCGATAATTTGATCCATCGTCAGAGCAAAGACGCCATGTAGACATTTCGATGATAATTTCTCTTACTCAAGGTAAGACCTGTTCTTTTTTTCTCAAATATGTTAGCTGTTAGCTTTCTGGGTTTTCCCCATTTTCAGAATACCAACCAAAACAAAATTGAAAAAGATCATAGTGATAAGAGGATCAACGTGGAATTGTGTAGTTCGTCGGTGAGAGGGCCGATTTGGTCGCCGGGATAGACAAAAGACGACGTCGCTTGGAATCGTGTGAGGGTCGTTGTTGTACCAGAGAAACTATGAGGAAGAAGAGTTGAAATGATTTTAGGGTTTGGGTGGGAGAAAGGGAGGACAATATATTTAACATTTTGCGGCGTTTTAAAAAACGCCACATATCACATGTTTTTACGCTTTTATACAAAAACGCCGATAATTACCACTCTATTGCGGCGTTTTGGTATAAACGCCGCTAAATGTTAAATATGCGGCGTTTTAGCTAAAACGCCGCTACATGTCTACTATATTGCGGCGTTTTTACTATAAACGCTGCTACATGTCTACTATATTGCGACGTTTTTACTATAAACGCCGCTATTGTTTAACCTTTCTATGGCGTTTGTCTAAAAACGACGCAAAAAACTATTATTAATTACGGCGTTTGTTGAAAAAACGCCACTATATACCATCCTATGGCGGCGTTTTTAACAAAACGCCGCTATATTTATACTCTATGCAGCGTTTTCACAAAAAACACCGCTAAGTCTCAATTTGTGGCGTTTGGATTGAAACGCTGCTATATGTAATATTTTGTGGCATTTTATCAACAAACGCCGCTTAAAACGCCGCTACAGAACAGGTTTACTGTAGTGCCAGGACCCAAAAGACGAGGGATTTGCTTGATAACAGATTCAGAAGCCAAAAAAGCATGATACTTCTTGGCAAGCTCCTTCACTAACTTCTTGTTCTTGTTTAGTTTTTTTCAACGCTTCTACATCCATATAATCCAAACCAATTTTCTATGCCTGTATTATTAAACCATTCAAAACAAAAATTTAATTGCAAAAATGATTCAAATACTAGAAGTATTATCTAAGCATAATGCGCATCTTATACCTGATTCCGAAAATAAAGCATTCTTCTAAGAAATATAAACAAACAAAATTTCACCTAAGAAAGCTGCAAAATCACCTCTTCAACATGTTGAGCATCTCCAAGCGTGCAAATTTTCATCTTGGGGCGTGGAATGTGTGGCAGCTTCACAGATCCACTGAAACGCTTATCCTTTTGGGGATCATAGTTTTTCAGGCCAACTTGGAGTTCAACAGTCTCAGTAAATTTAAGTTGTTTCTCCTTGGACTGAGCTACAATTGTTGAAATTACTTCTCTAAGGGCATCACTCCGAAGCTTACTGTAAATAAGAAATCCAAAATCTTTAAGCAAACAAAACCATAAACAACCAGATAGCAAATGATTAATATGGGCAACTTAAACATCTCAAAATAAAAAAATAGCACCCCAGAACACAAAGATCAAGCCAATGCTTTGAACTATGCTATCAAACCCAGGAACAAAGGTAGTTCCCTAACAAATCACGCTGATCCAAAATTGACAACTATAACTTACCGTCAAGGTTAAAATTCTACGACAATGAGAAAAAAATTGAGAGTCATATACGAGTAAAAGCTAAACACACATAATGACAATGCCATTTTCAAATATTTCACGGATTAAAGTACACAACAGATTATTCTATATTTCTATTAACACAAGGTAAAACTCTTTAATTCGAGTACAAAACACAATCAATGAAAAATTAAAAAGTCGTTCTAATCATAACAATATTTCTAATCAACGTACCTAAGAGGATTATCCTGCAAAGCACGTATGAAAAAAAAAAGAATCCAAAATCTACTAATCCGTGTCCAGCAAATCAATAGCAAAGTTAAAATTACCTCATCTCTGAATCTAAGTTCTTTCCACGGAGCAAAGTATGAACTTTTACCTGCAAAACAACGTTACCAAGTCATTAAAAAGTATCCGAGAGGAAATGGGAGTTGCGACAAGAAATGGTTTAGCGATAAAGAGAGAAAATAGTAAGTAATGCCTACCAGAGAAGAAAAACCCGGGAAATATATATCGAGTAATATAGTTCTCACCATATTTATTATATATTTGACATGTAAATTTTTATTTTCATATATTATTCAATTGAAAAATCACATTTATCTCTTATATATATATTACCATCGAATTCAATTTCTAAAAGAGCTTTTCTCTTCTTGAGTTTATAGAAAACCTTTGGCACACCTTCTTTCATACTGGTACTTAAAGAAATATTTTCAAATTAACACACGAACTAGGTATTTTGTTCAATACTTGAAACAACTTTTATTCCCGTATTAGTATCTGAGTTTTAATTACATTTATTGTTTTGGTACTTTAATTAGCAATATTACTTTTAATGACGTCATAAATTTATAATATTAAATCGTACCACATATGAATAATGACATAAAAAACTTTAAATTTTATTAAAATTCGTTAAAAAATAATAAAATAACAAGTTAAGAAATCTCAAATCTCATAAAACACCTGTAATAAAGCGAAGTCATCGATGTTGTGTCGGTTGTTTTTTCAATAGTTACTACACGTATTGATTTAAATAGTTTTAAGAAAATTATAACTCAATTTAAGTACAAAAGCGAAAGAAAAACAAATAAAAAAAATGAAAAAGAGAGTGAAATATTACGATTTTAGTCTAAAAAACATATGAAATGTCATGAGTAAATTATGTCTACTTTATGTAGGTATTTACAAATGAAATCTGCCTGAAGTTGTCTGATTAAAAGAAAAAAGGTTTTCTTCGTAATTTTGGTGATTAAGGAAGAATAATGGGTGACAATTCATTAGATTGTGCCAATACACTTGATGGAACACCAAATCCTGACGAATTAATGTCTTTGTTAATCAATGATGTCAAAGCTGAAAACCCAGAAGATGAACAACTGCAAGAAAGCAGCAAATTCCTACTGCAACCTCCAACAATGGTACCAAACCAGCAGAACAATCATACTATGTGAGATGTTGAAACTGTATCTTCGTCTTTCCTAAAGGATCAAATTATTCAGAATAAGATGATGAGGATTGGAGGGTGTTTAGTGAATCCACTAGGGTTCCCTTATATAGACCACAAATGCATGCTTTGCCTGCACAATCACCTTCAAGAGAGTTGCTCGTAATGAATGATTGATCGGTTGACATTACAGGATGAAACCAAATGCAAGAAACCATCGGAGAGGTTCAAAGGAAGAGGAAGAATAAGACCAGAAACAGAAGTTCAGCTGCAAAATCTCGAGCCGAGGCTCAGGTAGGTATACTGTATACATACATTTATAGCAAGCAGAATCCTGGAACTTAAGGAAGTTATGTCTAGAATTCGTACTTCTTTTTCAATATACCGAGGCTATGATCTCCATTCATTCTTTTATAGGAGCATACGAGATTTCTGGAAGAAAAACTGGTGCAATTGAGAAATGAGAATGCTCATTTGATGAAATTACTTTCCCTGATGAGAGACCAAACATTTCTTGACAAAGATATGGAAGAAAATATACATATTTTATTTTAAAAAAATCAACTTATGGTTATATATATCAAACGTTCTTAAGAGAAACAAATACATACCCCATAATTTTAACTGTGATCTATATCTTGAAAACAGTCATATTTTTGCATTATGATCGAGAAGCGGTTGAACAGAAATGATAACCCGCCAATTCCTTTTAGGTTGGATGCTTAATACCTGCGCGGAAATGGACAGGAAAGAGGAGATTGAGGAGAAAAGGCAAACAGTGTTCAGAAATTAGAAGACTGCATATGTAGAGAGGTTGAAGCTCATCAAGATCAACGGTGGTGAGACCAAAGAACAAAAGGGGATTGTATGGTTCATTTTAAGGTCAATTGATTCATCATTATACATCCAATATAACAAGATCCAAGTATATATACTGAATGAAACTGTTTGCCTTTAGTAGACATGTTTAACAAAATAAAGAAAATAGATCAAACTGCTGCAAGTTTTTTGATAATCAGATCTCAGCATTAATGGATTGATAGAGTGCAAATGTTGAAAATTTGCATAAACTTTTCATCAGATCTACTTTATATTTGTACCTAAAAACAGTGGCTAGTTAATGAGATTTACAGACTTTGTGATCCGAAACAGATAAAAAGTTGTTTCCATATTAACATGGAAAGAAACAACATGAAATAATTGCTCAACACATACTTTCAAGCCCCATGAATCGTTGAGAACTACTTCTTCCCTCAGCCATAAGCGCTTTACGAGCAGAAGCGAGTCCAGTGGGAGCTAACAATGAATCAAAAGAAGACATCCATCCAGTCTCTAAGCAGCTCTTCTTTACCCCATTTATCAGGTATCGAAACTCTACCTGCAACCTCTTCTCTGTGTCTTTTAAGCCTTTCACGTACCGAATCCTTGTCGTTTCCATCCCCGCAATTCCCTCTAGGAACCAAAACTGAACCTTGTACAAAACTGTCATTGCTGCTGCAACCATAAGACTTTTCATCTTCATTGCCTAAACCATGCATATCGTTGGAGTTGATGGACAAAGTCGGAACACGAACAACAACGGGTTTCGACGGATTATGATTCCGGGGACTGGAACTATTACTAGACATGTTGTTGTTGCGGCTGCAGCTTGATGATGATGATGATGATGATAGTGTGCAAAGAGGAGAGAAGGGTTATATATAAAGGGGGGATGGGTTATTGGGTGTGGGGGAATTGGAGTGCACGTCACCATATAATGGGTTTCTATGGTTTTCAATATATAAACGTTTCATTAGAGCTTAGAGTCTCACAATTGTGTGGCTCTTTCGTATGCCATAAAGAAGGGTGGAAGGTTGTGGACCGTGAATAATGGTGCATAGGCTCCAATGGGGTTGGTGTATTGGATTTTATTAGATGACGTTTTGAGGTGGGAAACTGTATACACAAAACACATGTTTGATTTTCTACTTGGGGAAACGTGTGGAACTAAGCTCAGATATTTTCCTCCACATTTTACCTCTAAAATTTGCCCCAACTTTATTATTTATTTATTTTATAAAAAGTTATTTACAAATTATTTTTTCTCATCAAATCTTCGACTCTTCTAATACTCTATTAATAATTTATTCTTAAATAACAATATAAATATATATATATATATATATATATAATATATTTATAAAATTTTAGATGATATTTTATTTATTAAATAATATTATAAATATCAATTAAATGGGTGAATAAAATGATAAACATGCAAGGCGAGTGCGAATACCCTTTCCCTTATCTCCATACTCACTCAATATTTTTGTAGTTATCACCTACTTACTACCTACGACGAGTAAAAATTTTAAATTCATTTCTGTCAATGTGGGTACATTCTCAAATCCACCCCACACCTACTACCCAATTAGATACCCACATGTACTCGTCAATACTTAGCTAGCAACAACCTCACAGACTACATAAACAACAAAATATAAAACAAATGCGTCCATTGAGAAGCATAATAAAATAAATCAAGAATTAATTGAGTTTATACCCTAACATTTGATTAAATTACAAGTAATGTCCTATAAAATCTTAAGATTTATATAATTATCTATAAAATTATACCTAAATTCATAATGATCCAAAATTTATATGTAGGATAATTAGTGAGTGAGTTGATGTGGGGCGGATGGATGTGGGTCGGGTAAGGTCTTAAACCCATCACCTACCCACTACCTACATCATATATGACTTTTTACATCCACACTCGCCCACAACCCAAATCATATATGATTTTTTACATCCACACCCGCCCAAAACCCACTAAATTTATATCCTTCCCCGCCCCAATTGAAACAGGTGCGATGCAAAATCTACGAAACTATACCTATCTACCATCCCTATTGGTGGAAAGGAATATGAGAATATATCTAATTAGAGAGACATTAAAATTAAAATTAATTAGTATCATAATATTATAAATATTTAAATTTAAATTTAAACAAAACTTTAAATATATATATTCAATCAAAGACGAAAATATTTCAAATAATTTTTAATAGTATAACCATACTCACAAACTCAACTAACATATTTTTCTTCAGTCCAACCTAACTCATTGGATACTCGCTCTTAGTTGGATTAGAATTTTTCTAAATCATTTTACCCAACCCCAAACTCACAGAAATTTAGATAAATTATCATCAAATAAAACTTCTAATTGGGCTAACTTGAGTTCGTAAAACCCTTGTTCAATATTCAACTCCTAGTCCTAACACAACTCGATCTTTGGACAGATCTACTCAATGGTAAGTAAAAGTAACAAAAAAAAAATTTAAAATAGAATAAAAAAATCAAACAAATAGAATCTGAATAAAGTTCCAAATTTTATCAAGTTTGAAAGAAGAAAGGCTTCTGCATATATATGACATGGTTGCTTCATATCATAAAATCATCCATTAATGGAATAATAGTTTTTTCTTTCTTCTTTCTTTTGTAGACCTAAAGATAATAAACCTGTGGATAGTGTATACATAAATGTTTTCCCAAGAACTGCAAACAAATCTTTAGCCTTGAAACGGAAAAAGGAAGAAGGAAAATTGCATCGAAAGACAGCAATGGTTTTCTCATGCAAAACATGAATTTTTTTTCATGTCACATTCTTCACAACCTTTCCGTGTCCTCCCCTTCTTTCTTGATTTTTAACAACAAGGGGTTAGCGAGATAAGGGGTTCGTGGTGATGGCAGAAAGACAAAGGTAAAGCCATAACCAGGGACATGAAGAGGCTGAGTCATTCGCTCTTAACAGCTCGGTAAATGTAGCAAACAAACATCAGGGAAGAACGGAAGCCTACTGTGCCAAGCATCAAGAAGAATGCATAGCACATGCAGGCATTGTAGCCGACAAAGAATGAAAATTGCAGTAAGCCACACAGCACAGATCTGCATCAATTGCAAAAATACCACAAATGGTTTGAAATGTTATGGCAATGCAAGGGGGAATTAAGATAAACAAAGAATGAAGCACTTACTTCAGATAATGAAGTGAAGCTTCTTTAGCTGGTTCCAGGAAGAAGAAAGTGAAAGAAATGAATGGAAAAGTTTCAATAATCAGCATCATTTGTTATTCATAAAACCTTCTCATCTTTTTGTGTTGAAAATTCAAAGTACATGGGCTGCTAAAATAATAAAGTAGCAGCCGGCTGCTTAAAAAAATGAGAAAATTATTTTTAGTCATTAGACTTTAAGGTATTTTCAAAGATTAGTCCCTGAGTTTCAACTATAAATACTCTAGCTCATTTAGCTTCAAAATCATCCCAAAATCTTCCAGTTCTCTCTCAAGTGTGTTTTGTAAACACCTGTAATTTTTTCTCTTTAGTAAAAGATCTGCAGCAGTCCGGAGACGTAAGTACAATTGCCTGAACTCCGTTATCAATTTTTCGGGTATTATTTTTTCCGTTTTTATTTCGTAATCTCACTAATCTGGCTATAGGGAAATTACTTGTTACTCGTTTATTTCCCAACAACTGGTAATCAGAGCGTTTGGTTGTGAATTTTGTCAATTTTTTGCGTGTTTACTATTCATTACTATTCACGTGAACGGTAAAATTCATGAATAGTAAAATTTTGTCGGCGATACGAATTTGTCGACGGAGGTGTTATAATACACGGTGGTTCGCACAAATTGTCAAAAACGATCCGAAGAAGCCAGATTCGAGTGGGAGCGATGGTTGCAGACGAAGGGAATATGAAAATTGAAAAGTTCGATGGTGCGGACTTTGGCTTTTGGAAGATGCAGATCGAAGATTTTCTGTACCAGAAAAATCTATATCAACCCCTCTCATGAAAGCAACCAGAGGACATGAAGAATGAAGACTGAGCTCTTCTCGACCGACAAGCCCCTCGGAGTTATCCGACTGACGTTGTCCCGAAATGTTGCTTTCAATATAGCAAAGGAAAAGACCACGGCGAGTCTTATGGCGGCTCTCTCCAGTATGTATGAGAAGCCATCGGCCTCAAACAAGTTCATTTGTTGAGGCGATTATTCAATTTTCGGATGACGGAAGGGACATCAGTGGCTCAACACCTGAATGAACTCAACACAATCACAACCCAGTTGAGTTCCGTGGAAATTGAATTCGATGATGAAGTTCGAGCTTTAATTCTCTTATCATCTCTACCAGACAGTTGGAATACTACTGTTACAGCAGTTAGCAGCTCGTCGGGAAATAGTAAATTGAAATTCGACGATGTTCGGGATCTGGTACTGAGCGAAGAAATTCGACGGAGAGAATCGGGTGAAGCATCAACCTCCTCGCCTTGCACACGGAGTCCAGAGGGAGAACTTCAGAAAGAAATTCAAATCGTGGCAGATCGAAATCCAGACGGGGAAAATCAAGAACAGGAAAGAAAGATTTTACCTGTTATAATTGTGACAACAAGGGTCACTTTAAAAGGGATTGCCGAGCACTGAAGAAAGATATCGGCGCACAGGAATCTGCAAATATGACAGAGGAGACAGGTGATGCAATGATTCTAAGCGTCAACAGTCTGATTGAATCCTGTATCTTGGATTCAGGGGCATCTTTCCACTCCACCCCATGTCGAGAAATCATGGAGAACTATGTCAGTGGTGATTTTGGGAAGGTTCATCTAGCTGATGATGAAACCTTGAAGATCATCGGAAAAGGAGACACATCTGACTAAAGTTGCCAAACCAGACCACCTGGATGCTGAAAGGAGTAAGACATATTCCTGGCCTCAAAAGAAATCTGATTTTTGTAGGACAACTTGATAGAGAAGGTTATAGTACAACCTTTTCAGGCTGTGAATGGAAAATTACCAAAGGGGCACTCGTCATTGCTCGTGGTAAGAAGACTGGTACTCTCTATGTAACCTCAAACTTAGAGAATATCATTGCTACAGCAGATGCTGATGGAAAATCAAACATATGGCACCAAAGGCTTGGTCATATGAGCGAGAAAGGAATGAAGACACTTTTGCCAAAAGGGAAGCTGCCAAATCTAAAGAATGTAGATGTCGGACTATGCGAGGATTGCATCTTTGGCAAACAAAAGAAAGTCAGCTTTGCAAAGATTGGTAAGACACCCAAGGCTGAAAAATTAGAGTTGGTTCATACTGATGTATGGGGACCATCTCCAGTTTCATCTTTTGCAGGCTCATTATATTATGTCACCTTCATCGATGATTCTACAAGGAAGGTGTGGGTTTATTTTCTAAAGAAGAAATCAGAAGTCTTTGATACCTTCAGAAAATAGAGGGCCATGGTGGAAAATGAGACTGGTCTGAAAGTCAAGCGGTTGAGGTCTGACAATGGAGGAGAGTACAAAAATAAGAGATTCAGATATTTCTGCGCAAACAATGGGATCAAGATGGAGACAACAGTTCCCATGACACCGCAGCATAATGGTGTAGCGGAGCACATGAACAGAACTCTGAATGAACGTTCCAGAAGCATGAGGATACATGCCGGACTACCCAAATTTCTATGGGCTGAAGCTATCAACACTACAGCTTACCTGATCAACTGTGGGCCCTCAGTTCCTTTGGATGACAGAATACCAGAGGAAGTTTGGAGCAAGAAAGAAATAAACCTTTCACACTTAAGAGTGTTTGGTTGTATTTCTTATGTACACGTAGACTCTGTTGAAAGAAGTAAACTTGATGCTAAGTCCAACAAATGTGCCTTTGTTGGTTATGGCGGTGATGAGTTCGGTTATCGGTTTTGGGACTATGAAAATTGAAAGATCATCAGAAGCAGAGATGTCATTTTCAATGAGAATGTGATGTACAAAG